TAAACACTACGAGTCGCCAATCCCCACCAATGAACACCACCATTCCCCACCAGTCAACACCATTCTCCGCCCGTCAGCACCATTCCCCACCAATCAACACCACCAATCAACACCAGTCAACACCAGTCAACACCACCATAACCGGACTTATCGTACCTAGTCCGGCCCACCAGTGCCCCACCCCCCCACCACCACCACCACCACCAATCCGCGTTCACACAAGCGGCGTTCAGGAGTAACGCGTTTTCCCATCTTGGCCACACCCATTTCCCACCCTCGCCCCGCCCCACTCTTTGCACAGCTCTCGCGCGGTCTAACGCTGACAAATTCCCTCCGCTTGTCGTAGGGGGGAGGGGGGGAGGGGGGAGAAGGTTGTTAGCTGTCGGAATTCCCATAGATGGCACTTAAACCACTCACGCTAGGCTCTTGCTCTTGCTCTCTCTCTCTCGCTGTCAACCTGGCACTCTCTGGCTGTCGGGATCTCAGGACCTTTCTCTCTCGAGTTCTTTCTCTCTCTCTGTCAGTCTCTCTCTCTCTCTCTCTCTCTCTCTCTCTCTCTCTCTCTCTCTCTCTCTCTCTCTCTCTCTCTCTCTCTCTCTCTCTCTCTCTCTCTCTCTCATAATCTCTCTCTCTCTCTCTCTCTCTCTCTCTCTCTCTCTCTCTCTCTCTCTCTCTCTCTCTCTCTCTCTCTCTCTCTCTCTCTCTCTCTCTCTCTCTCTCTCTCTCTCTTCATAGCCCTCCCCTTCCCTCGCCCCCCTCCCACCCTCTCCCTACCCCACCACCCCAATCCTACCCCCCCCCCCCCCGCATCCCTCATCCCTCCCTCATCACCCTGACTCCCTCCCTGTTGCTCTTTCTGCTTTCGGCGCAGTTTCGTGCACCCCATTATTGGTTTTCGGTCATGTTGCAAGGCTCCGCTGGCCCCCGCCCTCCGCTGCCGCTCCTCGTTGGTATGCAACGTATGCAACAACCGCCGGTAATAAGCAATATGAGAGGGAGTCGACGGCGGAGGTGGTGGGGGAGGGAGGGAGGGGGAGGGTAGTGGGGGAAGTTTGGTTAAAAAGTGAGGGGGAGAGGGAGAAGAAAGGGAGAGGGGGAAGGAAAGGGGAAGTGCAGAGGGAAAGGGAGAAGTGGAGAAGAAAGGGAGAGGGAGAGGAAAAGGAGAAGTGGAGAGGGGCAAGGGAGAGGGAGAGAGAGTGGAGGAGGGGAATAGGAGAGGGAGAAGGGAATAAGAGAGAGAGAGAAAGAAAGAAAGAAAGAAAGAAAGAAAGAAAGAAAGAAAAGAAACCAAGAAATAGATCACCCGGAGGACTTAGACACCTGCGGCTTCTTAAACCCGACAGAGAAAGGAAATTTAAGAGGAAGAACAGTTAATTCCAAGAGATAAAGTACCCTAGAAACACACACCATAAATCTTTAAAAAAAAACGATAAATAATTAAAATGGGACCAAGATATTATAAATGATAATGAATATTTAGTACGTAGTGAGGTTGCCATCCTCTCCGGCTTCATTTGCACGAGAGTTGCAAGTTGCAGGCGCTCGTAACTCCTGGAATTTTGGCTTTGTCTACTTACAAACGTTTTTTTTTTTTGTTTTTTGTTTTGGTTGAAGGAAAGAGATCAGTGTAATTAACAAGTCTGTTTGTTTGGGATTCTTCGAGTCACATGTGTTTTTTGTCTAGATAGAATCGGTGTTTAGACTAATGAATTTCTCTCGCAGTTGGAACATGATAGTAAAGGCACTGCGAGAATTAGATTAGTGATAATAATAGAAAAAAAAAGAAAACGAAAAAGAATAAGAAAAAAAAAGCTATTAAGGTTAAGTGAGGTAATGTCGAGGTAAATAAAATGGGGAGAAAATCGTTTATCCGACTGAAAGGGGGTCGTATACCGGACAGACGACGATCCACTTGGCCGGTTAAGAGTGAGCTTCTCCTGGTACCGTTTCCGATCAAATAGGTGTCATTTATCGGTAAAATAAAAGTGTTTGTTTGTTTTTTTATCGTGTGACATTAAGCGGTAAGTGTATTTCTTATTCACGAAATATATAGCGTTAAAAGCTTGTTTGTTGTTTTCTCCCCACAGAATGCTTTTACCGGATTTTGTTTTTTCTTTTTTTTCGCGAAACACCTTACCGGAAAGGGATGTTTTCGCCCATATCCCTTCCAGCAAAGATCGATGCCCCAATGAGCCCCACCGTCCGGGCCAAAGGGTTAATCTCGCGTTGGTTTTTCGTCGCGGCAGCCGGAGGAATGGGAGGCCCCGCGAGCGAAGGGGTTAAGACGTCGGCCTCACACACGGCGCCGAAAACACCCCCTCCCCCCCTCCCCCCCAAACACCGAAAATACCCGAACACCGGCCGTAAACCAGAGCTCGCGTTACTGTACGGGGAATCAAGAGTCGATCCGGTCAGGAATGCGACGGCCGTTTTGGTGCGTTTCGCTTCCGGAAGAGTGAGGGCGCTGCGCTGAGGGAGGGTCCTGGTTTCGTCTAAGGATAGGGGGGGGGAGGGGCGTGGAAGAGTTGGTGGGTTGGTTTGTCTTTTGCTGCATCGTTCTCTTTTCTTTTTCTTTTTTTTCTTTTTCTTGATATTTATTTTTCCATTCTCTCTCTCTATCTATCTATCTATCTATCTATCTATCTATCTATCTCTCTCTCAGTCTATCTATCTTTCTCTGAAATATTAAGTATACACAATACCATATAAGTCAGTTTTATCAGACAAAAATAAGACTTAATACGCAGACACAAGTCACACCTCACGTAGATTTCGCGCCTCCAGTAAGGGGGCTCTGGGAGGGAGTAGGGGGGAGAGGGAATCAGAGAGGGAGTGGGGAGTGGGGGAATTAGGGAGGGGGTAGGGAGTGGGGCAATCAGGGAAGGAACAGGGAGTCGGGCAATCAGGGAGGGAATAGTGAGTTGGGGCATTCAGAGAGGGAACAGGGAGTGGGGGAATAAGACAGGGAGTGGGGAGTTGGGGCAATCAGGGAGGGAACAGGGACTGGGGGAATCAGGGAGGAAATAGGGAGTGGGGAGTGAGGAGAGGATGGAGGAGGTGAGGGGGGGGGGGGGGACGTGAGTGACACGGCAGCGATAACAAGGCCGTTCCGTGAGACAGCCGACGCGATAAAAGTAAAAGCCTTAAGTACCATTAGCAAACGTCGGAGGGAGAAAATAGTTTGTGCTAAAGGGGGACGGCGATAAGCTACACGGGGGTGAGGGGGAAGGGAGAAGGGGGAAGGGAGAAGGGGGAAAGATAGAGACGGAGAGAAAGAGGGGAAGGGGAAGGGAAAGGGGGAAGGGGAAGGGAGAAGAGTTACATGGAGAGAAAGAGGTGAAAGGGGGAAGGATATAGACGGAGAGAAAGAGGGGAAGGGAGAAGGGGGAAGGATATAGACGGAGGGAAAGAGGGGAAGGGGAAGGGGGAAGGATAGAGACGGAGAGAAAGAGGGGAATGGGAAGGGAGAAGAGTTACATGGAGAGAAAGAGGTGGAAGGGGGGGATATGGACGGAGAGAAAGAAGGGGAAGGGGGGAGAGGGAAGGGTGAGGGAGAAGAGATAAATGGAGGGGGAAGATATAAATGGAGGGGGAAGGGGGAGGGATATACAAGGAGAGAAGGAGGGGAAGGGAAAAGGGGAGAAGATATAGACGGGGAGAAAGAGGGGGAAGGAGGAAGGATATAGACAGAGAAAGAAGGGGAAGGAGGAAGGATACAAACAGCGAGGAAGTAGGGAGAAGGGGGAAGAGGGGAGGGAGAAGAGTTAGACCTAGAGAAAGAAGAGGTTAAGAAGAGGAATAACAAGGGACACGGCGAATCTGCTAATCTTGCGGGGAATTAGCGAGGGGATGCAATAAAGGAGAGGCACAAGAGCGGGAGGGATCCAGGCGGGGGACAGAAATAACTGCCGTGCCTTTTGCAACGTGCGGGTGGGGAGGGGAGGGGGGAGGAGAGAGAGAGAGGGGGGTGGGGAGGAGGAGGGTAGGATGGGGAAGGGAGAGTATGGGGGAGGGGGAGAGGAGGGATGGGGAGGAGGAGAGTGGAGGGGGAGAGGAGGGTAGGATGGGGAAGGGGAGAGTAGAAGGGGTTAGAGAGTGGAGAAGGGAAAGGGGAGAGGAGGGGTGGGGAGGAGGAGTAGAGGAGGGTAGGATGGGGAAGGGGAGAGTGAAGGGGGAGTAGAGGGGGAGAAGGGGAAGGGGAGAGGAGGGAAGGAAGGGTGGGTGGAGGGGGAGAGGAGGTAAGGATGGGGAGGAGGAGAGTAGACGAGGTTAGAGGGAGAGGGGGAGGGAGAAGGGGAGAGGAGGGAAGGAAGGGGAGGAGGAGTAGAGGAGGGTAGGATGGGGAAGGGGTTAGAGAGGGAGAAGGGAAAGGGGAGAGGAGGGAAGGAAGGGGGGGAGGAGAGTGGAGGGAGAGTAGAGAGGGAAAGGGAGGGGGTAGGGAAGAGGGGGAGTGTAGGCACGCGATTGCCAATCAGACATGCAACATGAGATCATGGTAAAAGGTGCCTAATTAGCAACACGTTAGAAGCAAACGCTCATTAATTTGCGTTGGTAATTACTTTGATAATTACTCTTATTAGGTGTAACAGAGGGTGTCGATTGATAAACATGCTGCATATTAGATCGTACCAAAGCTAGATTTATAAGGTTGTTGGAAATGTTTAGTCGATTATTATTACAGTGTAAATGGCTCTTGTGTTCAGTGTAATTATGTATTGTAGAGAATTATGTTTAGTCTGAATGGGTCTTAGTACTTATTTCTAAATAAAATTGTCATGATGATTGTTATTAGAGGTGAAACGATGGCGAGACGATTGAAATTATGTTGAATAGGTTTTATCCCCCTAATGTGGTATAACATTGTACTAGGCCGGCATGTGTGGTCGTTCAAGATTTCAAGCTATTCAAACAGATATG